AAAAGGAAGGAAATAATAAAGATAAGTATGAGAATTCATGAAACAGAAACAAATATACAAGGATCAATAAAACCAAAGTTTCACTCTATGAAGAGACTAATAGAAATGACATACCTGGGAATATCCATGAGGGAGAGAAGAAATACTCAATAAACAGTTGTAAAAATGAAAAGGGGTATATCTATGGAGGTTGCACAGATTAAAAGGTAGCAAGAGGGTGGAATAAACAGTTTGATTTCTATAACCTTGAAAATGGGCTTTCCAGGTGGTAGAGTGGTAAAGAATCTGCCTGCCAATGCAGGAGACACAAGAGAAATGGGTTCAATCCCTGGGTCACAAAGATCCCTTGGAGTAGAAAATGGCAACCCACTCCAGTATTCTTGCCTGGAAAACTCCATGGACAGGGGAGCCTGGAAGACTACAGTCCATGGGGTCGCAGAGGTGGACGTGCCAAGTTGCTTCAGTCATGTCCCACTCTTTGCAGCTCTATGGACCATGGCCCACCAGGCTGCTCTTTCTATGGAATTTTTCCAGGCAAGAATACCCGAGTGGGCTGCCATTTCCTCCTTCAGGGGATCTTCCTGAACGACCCAGGGATCAAACCCATGTCTCTTACATCTCCATCATTGGCAGGCAGTTTCTTTGCCACTAGCGCCACCTGGAAATCCCAAAGAGTTGAACATGACTAAGCAAATGAACACACATCCTTGAAAATAGGTGAAACATACATGTTCCTAAAAAATTTAACTTGCCAAAACTGGCTCAAGAAAAACTACAAAATTGAAAAGTCCTGAAACTATTAACTAATTTAAATCAGTGATCAAAATGTCTCCCTGGACCCAAAAGCTTTTACCTAGTGAGTTCAACGCAACTTTCAAGGAACAAGTCATTCTAATTGTACATCTGCTAAGGCTGCTGTAACAAAACACCATAGACCTGGTGCCTTAAACAGAAATTTATCTTCTCACAAGTCTGGAAGCTAGATGACCAAGATAAAGGTGTGAGCAGAATTGATGTCTTCTAAGGCTGAAAAGAATGAGAATCATAGAGTAGGTGTGGAGCAGTCTCTTCTGAGAATAGCAAGAAAAATAGACATTTCAACTGTGCCTTTAGATTTGCAGTCAGGTTGATGGAAACAAATAGCTCCAGGTGATTCACCTTAAAACCTAAATAAAGAAACAAGCAATCGGCCAACCAGAGGTGTAGAATTGGTATAGGATTCAAAGACTCAAAAGGCAGTTTTCTATAACAGGTTTACCTGGGGTATCCTCTAATGCACATTAATGAAGTCTCCTTTATGTACAGTTGGGAAGGTCCCCTGGAGGAGGAAATGGCAACCCACTCCAGTATTTTTGCCTAGAGAATCCCATGGACAGAGGAACCTGGCGAGCTATAGTCCATGGGGTTGCCAAAAGTCAGACACTACTGAGCGACTAATACTAAGGCCTCTCAACCTCGGCTTGCAGATGGCTACCTTCTTGCTGTGTCCTTACAAGACCTTTTCTCTCTATGTGTGAACATTCCTGGTGTCTCTTTATGTCCAAATCCCCTCTTCTTAATAAGGACTTTAGTCAGATTGGATTAAGGCCTCAAGGCCTCATTTTAACCTGATCACCTCTTTAGAGGTCCTATTGCCAAATCAGTTATATTCTGAGGTACTAGAGGTTAGAACTTCAATATATGCATTTGGGGAACACAATTCAACTCTTAATACTAATCTTACACAAGCTATTTCATATTACAGAACACAGTGAAACACAGCTCCGCTCAGTCTGAAGCCAGAAGGGAAAATACAAATGACTCTCACTCATCAAAGTAGATGGGAAATTCCTAAGCAAAGTGTTTGTAACCTAATCCAACGATCTATTTAAAAATATAATAACCATGCTCAGGTTATTTCAGAATATTATAGTTACTAAAACTCTGTGCTCAACAATTAAAACTCATGGTGACAGTGTTTAAAATTAGTTACCGGTATTTAAGTGATTAAAGAAAATGTACTTACTTGTAAGTAAATAAGATTTACATAAGAATTGGAATTTGGGGTGGGCTGATGTTCACTGAAATCTATAGGCCTTTTACAAACCTGATTTTTACTGCGGCATCTTTCCTGTATTTGGTCTTAGAGTCATAGAAACTTTTCACGTGCTGCTGATGCCTCTCAGGAACTCAACACTTTGAGGGCGAAGGGTCCACATTCATAGGATCGTTGTTTTCACGTGAGTCCTCATGAGCTTCTGGCTGAACTGTTCAGTAGCAAATGCCAGTCTCTGACTTTAAATATACTTTGGGAGCCAACATCTATCAGCATGTGGTTGCTTCCTTCTGTTATTTTAAGACACTATTCAAGAGGGGCCTAGCATTTCACCTCCCTCATGTTATTTATGTGCCTTAATAGAAAATCGGTGTTAGACAGCTAATTACAGTATTCCAGATTGCACAGTCAGTAGGCATCTATGATCACAAGTGGGTGCTGTTGAAGACAGAAAGGAAGGAAATACCCCCAAGCAAAGACCATTCAGTAAGCCTTTTAGGTGTGCATGCACTCTGGGAGCTCAACGACTTTCTGTTTATGTACTTATTTGTGTGTTTGCTTATTTTGTCAGTTATACCAACAAGCTGTCTTATATGCTATTTCTGAAGACCTAAGAGAGAAAAAGCCTTGTGTCTTATTTGCTGAGGTTACTGTGGGAGAGACTGGTCATGAGAACAGTCTGTTAGGATGTCTTGGTGTGGGTGGATACATTTGTTCCATTGTGTGGCCTCATCCTGTCCCCAGGACCCAGGGGGGCATCTTGCCAGGGCATGTGCTGGTCACTAGGTGGGTTAGCTGTGGCCATGGACAAAGTGGAACAAATCCATACCTGTTCCCAGAAAAACTCATCCATATCCTACGGCCAACTGGCCAATGTCATCATATTTGTAGACCAAGGACAGCATTTCTTATATTAATTTTATGTGTGTTTTGGAGATAGTATTTTGAAATAGTAGCATATTTTTTTTCTTTTTTCCTGTAACTCTTTGTGCCTTGCAACATCGCCTTTGGTGCAGGCAGCTGGGGCATTCTGCCTTCACTTCCTTAGGAAAGGGTGACAGCCGAAGGCAGAGGCCAGTGAGGTCAATTCTTGACTTCTGAGTTTCCAAAGCCTGGGCCTGGCATCAGATAAAAGGCTGGAAAGAATTCCTTGAGGATAATCACCGAGGCTGACAGATGGAGACACATTTGGAACACTCTGTAGGGACGTTGCATAAAGCCTGCTGATAAAAAAAACAAAACATCTGCTTGGTGTCCTGGGCCACTTGGTGGAGTGTGTCACCAAGCTCCCTGCCCCACGAGTACAGAGAATGAGCTGGTGAGGCTAGCAGGGCCCGGGGCAGCCTCTCCCTGGCCCAGAATCATGTGAGAAAAGCAGAAACTTTCCAGGCACCCAGAGCAGCATGTATGGGCCACAGAGAAGCCGCAGACTCACGGCGGCTGTATGTTCAGGAAGGACTCAGCGGTGACCTCCGAGGCCTCTGGTGCAGGACCAGTGAGGGCCAGATGGGGTGAAGGCTTTCCCAGGGGAGGCCAGGAGGAGGGCAGATGCGACCCAAGTGCCACGCTCAGACCCAGGCATGAGGAGCCCTGCCCCAGATCCCCTTGGCCCCTCCACTTACCCCTCTCTCACAAGGCAGGGAAATGCTGCCCTCTTTCTAGGACAGTGCCGACTGAAAATCCCATTCAGACACAAGTGCTTGTGTTTAGAACTGATGAAAATATTCACTGGGATATAGAAACAATACACAAGGATTGGCATAGACTGAACACCCCTAATTCCCTTCTCTTTTTAGATTGGAGTGTAATTGCTTTACGGAGAAGGCAATGGCACGCCACTTCAGTACTCTCGCCTGAAAAATCCCATGGACGGAGAAGCCTGGTGGGCTGCAGTCCATGGGGTCGCTAAGAGTTGGACATGACTGAGCGACTTCACTTTCACTTTTCACTTTCATGCATTGGAGAAGGAAATGGCAACCCACTCCAGTGTTCTTGGCTGGAGAATCCCAGGGGCGGCGGAGCCTGGTGGGCTGCCGTCTATGGGGTCGCACAGAGTCGGACACGACTGAAGCGACTTAGCAGCAGCAGCATAATTGCTTTACAATGTTACGTTAGTTCTGCTGGGCTCCCCTGGTGGCTCAGTTGGTAAAGAATCTGCCTGCAATGCAGGAGACCCAGGTTTGATCCTTGGGTTGGGAAGATTCCGCTGGAGGAGGGCATGGCAACCCACTCCAGTATTCTTGCCTGGAGAATCCCATAGACAGAGGAGCCTGGAGGACTGCTGTCCATGGGGTCACACAGATTTGGACACGACTGAAGCAACTTAACATGCATGCTTGTGCAGCAAAGTGAATCAGTTATGCATATGCATGTATCTACTCTGTTTTAGATTTCCTTCCCACTTAGGTCTCGCTGAGTAGAGTTCCCTGTGCTATACAGTAGCGTCTCATTAGTTATCTATTTTATATACAGTAACGTTTATATGTCGATCCCAGTCTCCCAATTCAGCACTCTCCTCCATCCCCACTTGATAGCTGTTTCTTTTCTACATCTGTGACTGTTTCTGCTTTGCAAATAAATTCATCTGTACCATTTTCCTGGATTCCACATCTAATCAATATTATATAATATTTCTCTTTCTGACCTCTTTCACTCTGTATGACAGTCCCTACGTCCATCCATGTTGCTGCAAATGGCATTATTTTGCTCCTTTTTATGGCTGAGTAATATTCTACTATATATATACATACCACATCTTCTTTATCCATCCCTCTGTTGATGGACTTCTAGATTGCGTCCATGTCCTGGCTATTGTGAACAAGGCAGCAATGAATATCAGGGGGAAGCCCCCTAATTTTCTTCTAAGTGGATCTGGGTGCTGTCTTGGGGGAAGGAAAGTAGGAAAAGCGCTTGACTTGATGATGATGGCTGGGGAGCAGGCCTGGGCTTCCGCCTCGGCACTGACCTTGGCAGATCCAGCAGACCAGCATGCAGGCTTTCTCCGGAGCCAGCCGCCAACCCTAGTGCCGACAGCCTGCACTCCTGGGCAGGTGAGGCTCGGCCCCTGCTCCGGTGCAGGGACCCTGTGCTGGGGCCGCTACAGTAAAGCACGGGTCCCTGGGTGCTCCCATTCCCCGGGCTGTCAGTAGCGAGAACTCTGTCTGTAGGGACATTTGATTTGGGGCTCTCTTCTTCCAGTCCGCTGGTTTTAGCGGACTTTCTTTGCAAAGACATCATTTAGGTATTGAGGGGAAGAAGTTCTGAAAAGAAGACTATTACATAATGATTTTAAGAATAATGTACAGCTTCCTAAAACTGGTCTTTTTTTCTGTTACATTTTCAATTCAGGTTTTCAGAAGCAAGCCAATTTTAGAATCCTATAGTAAGAACACATTTAGAAGCCTGTATAAGGTGTGACGCATTTGATGCAAAATATAGATGGACAAAGAATGATGTCGCTCAGTAAGAAGTCCAATTAGATGATGGACACTGAAATATACATGAACAAGGGTAAAGATGTCAAGTGACACAGGAAAGACTAATTAGGTGGGAAAAAAAAAGGAGAGTCGGTGATGGGCTTCTGATATTCTAACTTTATTTGGCATGAAATGAAAGTGGTTTTGTGCTACATTTACTAGATAGAGGGGTTTTATGCCACGTTTACTTGGGGCTCGGGGATATTTTTTTAATCTTTTGATGTGGAACCCTCAGGGCCCAGGACATCTCTGGGGTCATAGCATTCTGTGGTACTGACCGGCTTTCGAGCTTAATTATTTAAATGTTTCCAGACTCAAATGACTGATGAGCCAACGTATTTTTAGTTCACACTTTCACAGAGCAAGCTGTAAGGTGTGCCCAAAGCAGACATCACAGGGGACCTTGACAAGCAGTGCTAACTGTGAAGTTCCACATGTATGTTATTTTGGCATTCACATTTTAAATTACAAGTTTCAAACTTAATCCAGAGTTCAAGGGAACAGAGTCCTTCCTGCATAAGGCTTTCATGAAGAGGGCCAGAGCTTGTTGTGTTGTCCTTGTTTTTAAAAGGGAGAAAGAATGCTGTTAGAATAAAGAAAAAGAATGTCGCCAGAATGTTCTGCTTAATTTAGCCCTCCAAAGATAAACACACTGGTGAATCATTGCAGGCTGATGTTACTATTTTAACATTAATTCTGTATCTCCCCCCCACCACCCTGTTTCTGAATAGGTGGGTTGTAGGTAGTCTCACTTAGAAGTTTGTTCCTTTAAAATTCCTTGGAAGTTTCCCGTGTTCCAACTATTTATGATACAAGTGATGGCTCCTGGGGGTGCTCAAAATACTACTTTAAAGAATTTAAGAGTGTGTTTGAGAATTATCCAGTTTGCAGAGATTCTATACAGTTAAGAGAGTCTCAGTTCAGTCACTCAGTCATGTCCCACTCTTTGCAACCCCATGGACTGCAGCACGCTAGGCTTCCCTGTCCATCACCAACTCCCAGAACTTGCTCAAATTCATGTCCATTTGAATCGGTGATGCCATCCAACCATCTCATCCTCTGTTGTCCCCTTTTCCTCCTATCTTCAATCTTTCCCAGCATCAGTCTTTTCCAATGAGTCAGTTCTTCACATCAAGAACTTGATGGTGGTGTATTGGAGTTTCAACTTCAGCATCAGACCTTCCAATGAACGTTCAGGACTGATTTCCTTTAGGGTTGACTGGTTTGATCTCCTTGCAGTCTAAGGGACTCTCAAGAGACTTCTCCAACACCACAGTTTAAAAGCATCAATTCTTTGGCAGTCAGCTTTTTTTATAGTCCAACTCTCACATCCATACATGACTACTGGAAAAACTATGGCTTTGACTAGATGAACTTTTGTTGACAAAGTAATGTCTCTGCTTTTTCAAATGCTGTCTAGGTTGGTCATAGCTTTTCTTCCAGGGAGCAAGCGTCTTTTAATTTTGTGGCTGCAGCCACCATCTTCAGTGATTTTGGAGCCCAGAGAAATAAAGTCTCTCACTGTTTCCATTGTTTCCCCATCTATTTGCCATGAAGTGATGGGATTGGATACCATAATCTTTGTTTTTTGCATATTGAGTTTTAAACCAACTTTTCCCTCTCCTCTTTCACTTTCATCAAGAGGCTCTTTAGCTCTTCTTTGCTTTCTGCCATAAAGGTGGTGTCATCTGCATATCTGAGGTTATTAATATTTCTCCCAGCAATCTTGATTCCAGCTTGTGCTTCATCCAGCACTGCATTTTGCATGACGTACTCTGCATATAAGTTAAATAAGCAGGGTGACAATATACAGCCTTGACGTACCCCTTTCCTGATTTGGAACCAGTCTGTTGTTCCATGTCCGGTTCTAACTGTTGGTTCTTGACCTGAATACAGGTTTCTCAGGAGGCAGGTAAGGTGGTCTGGTATTCCCATCTCTTTCAGAATTTTCCACAGTTTGTTGTGATCCACACAAAGGTTTTGGCATAGTCAATAAAGCAGAAGTAGTAAGAGAGTCTACTCATCATCAAACTTTTAACTAATTTACTTTGAACCCAGGTCTCCTGAGTCTCAATGGGGACTTTGCCGTCATGATTAAGTTAAGGATCTTGAGTTGAGGAAATTACCCTGGTTTATTCAGTTGAGCTCAGTGTAATCACAAGGATCCTCATAATAGGGAGGCAAAAAGATCAGGCGTGGAGAAAGCAACGGGACAGCAGAAATAAAGATTAGAGTGATAACAGCCACAAGCCAAGGAAGAGGCAAGGAGTGCTTTCTCCCCTGGAGCCTCCAGAAGGCCAGTCAAGTCATCACTTTAATTTCAGCCACATAAAACCTTGTTTCACCCTTCTGACCCCTGGAACTGTATGTATAAATTTAGGTTATAAGCCACTAAGTTTGTGGTGATTTATTACAGTGGCAACAGGAAGCTAATACAGACAAAAAGACAATGGAGAGAGCAGGTAGAGCAGGCAGTCATAGGATGGCTAATTTCTTTTCTAAGGACAACCACATGGGCTCCCCGTCTTGGCCCATTTCCCTGCTGCTCTTTCAGAACCTGGTTAAACCCTGATTAAAGACCAGTGCCTTTCCTTGTCTTGCTTTTTTTTTTATCCGATGGCACCCAGAAACTTTTCTAAGTAACTTGGAGGAATCACTCGGCCTTCCAGACCTCAAAGATTGCAGCTAGATGTTTCCTGTGGTCCTAATGAGTCCTTCTAGAACTGTTTAGATGGCTGCTGTTTCTCACTATTCTCTGTGCCAGGTTTAGTGGGTTAAGTAGTAAGCACATGAGACTAGTCTCTAGTAATTAAACTTAGATGGGATCTTATCCCTCACTCCCTTAGAACAGTCATGTTAGTGGGGAGAGTCAAAGAACTTAGTCCCCAGTTCAATCAGCCAGGCATTTATTGTTACCGCCTTGTGTACTCAGCACTTTGCTCTAGGTGTCCTGGGTTGATATGAAAAACTCAGGTCATCTGCTTCTCTCCTCAATGAGGGCCTGGATGAGAAGATAGAAGGAGCATAGAGAAAAAGAATCATTGCCCCAATTGATCTGAAGACTAAGTACGTATCAGTACTTACCAACTCTTTACTAATAGATGCCAAAGTGTACTTTTGAAGGAGGTGACCAAATTTTTGTTGGGCCCTTTAAAGAGATCAGCCAGAATTTGATGATTGAGTGAAAAGAAGTGACCAGTGCTTTTGAGGCATGGTGGGATTCGCCTGTTAGTGAAATGAATGTGCCTGGACCACAGTATTTATTTCTACCCATCACTTATCTAGTCACATATTCATTCTAAAGATAATTGTGCAGCATTAGTACTGTTTTTTCAGAGCTATGAGGAAGAATGACCAGATCCCTCCTTTCGTGGACTGTGTCTTGCAGTAGATGTAATCAGAACATGTTTAATAAGGAATTATGCAAGTTAAGAAACACCTTATCACTCAAGAAATGTTAGCCATTTAATTTAAGTCATGGAGAGCCCAAAGTACTTTGTTGCATGAATCCCAGAGAGGTATCCCATGAAGGAACACTTTTTGGTTTCAAAGTGATGTTTCCTGTGCCAGCCTGTAGGAACAGCTCATTTAGATCTAGCCTGAAACATATCCACGTCTCCAAGCTGTACAAATAGCTGGAATATCCCACCCTTTCTTTACAAAACTATGGTTCAGGAAAGGATTTGAGAGGTCATGAATCCATTCTGCTGGCTTAGACACAGATGCTTTCAAGAGGCAGGTCACAAAGGTGTGTGCAGGTCAGTGTAAGACAATAGGGAGTGGTGGGGACTTTGGCAGACTGAGAACATGTGACTTGTCTTAGATTCTGGGGTTTGATCTGGCCAAAGCATCATGTTAGCGGGCCAGATTTGATTAGACTTGATAGCCCTTGATTGCTCATCCAGGAAAACAGTAGTCTGACCCTTTCTGCAAGCCTGACAAAGACAATCATCTCTGTCAGTTTGGGTGGCAGGCTGCCTCCAGTCAGCCACCTGCCAGCACCTGCCAGCCATCTGTTAAGGAGAGAACTTGCTCTCTAGTTGAAGGGGGCACTCATCATGCTTTCAGCTAAGTGGTGAATTGTGGGCAGAACTTGAGGCTGTATATTGCTGGAGCAGACTCTGAGTCAGTTCTTCCTCTTGTTTGCTTGTTTTTATAACAGTCAACTCATCCACAAGCATTGGTAACTGCCCTTTAAGCCACCCTTTTGGCTGATGGATGGAGTTAGGACCTGTTTTTTGCCAACAGCTCAGTACCGATCAGACAGTTGCCTTCCTCTACATTCCAGTGACCTGGTTGTTTTGCAGCCGATTCAGTGATTTTTTTTTGAGAATTGGCCATAATAAAGTAGGTGGAAAGTTCCTGAAGACTATTTTTAAAAATCCTTAAAGTGATAAATACATCGATCTAGATAGTGGTAAGCATATATCATTCTGCTATAACTTAATAGATTTATAAGATAGTCTCCCTTCAGAAATAATTTTTAAATGCAGCTCTCTCCTGGAATTTAGAAGGAGGGCTCAAATGTCTCTTTTCAGGCAGAAATTCTACCATGCTTATTTTCATATCAACACTGTTGAGTATTATTGAAGACTAAGAGATTTCTTTTTTTGTGAGGCATGAAAGATTAGCTTTAAACATTTTATTAGTCAAATTGAAACATAAACTGGCAGCCTTAAAAGAAATTTTTCATAGACAACACACTTATGGTTACCAAATGTGAAATGGGAAAGGGAGGGATAAA